GGGGGGGGACGGGACGGGGACACACACATGCATCTGAATGTAATGTCTGCATTAAATTAAAACCCAAAACAATGTTCACTATTAAAACCAAGTTAGACAAGACAGTAACAGGGGTACAAAGTATCAGAAACTCAAAAAAATTAATTCTTTTTATTCGTCTGAGTGTCTCAAAAGTAAAGTGTTTTCTGAAACTTATCCAAAGGTTTCAAAAGATCCAAAGGGACTCAGAACAGAACTAGGGAGCAAGAATATCTTAGCTCAAATCTTAGTTATGTCATTTACTAGCACTGTGTTGATCTTACACAAGTTAGAGAATTTCTCTTCACCTCAATTCCTTATTGGTAGAATGGAATTAACAGCAATGCCTTACTCCACAGGGTTAATATAAAGATTAAATGAGCCAGTGAAATACTTACAATGTCATATAAAATACTTATAATGGTGTCTGAAAAGAAGTAATCAAACGCCACATCACCCGTGTAGTGATTGATCTAGCAGCAATGAATGACACAATATATAACCATTTTCTTATGAATTTACTAATGTCTGTTGTAATTCTATTTCAAAAATTTGAGAAAGCATAAGCAAAAATGTTAATCTCTAGACTACAAATGGAGTGTATAGTGGTTTTAAACATAACAATCTAGGTTATGTAAAATTCAACCCAAGAATAGAGAACAGCCATTGCTACTTAGTCAGAGTTTAAACTATGCTTTAAATCATTCTTCTCTGGTGGCTACTGAATACCTAATTTAAGAAAAAGTGCAAAAGTGGCATTACTGCTAAGTGTAAGATGAGCTCTCTATGTACTTCATCCTAAGCAATAATTTCTATACCTATTGTGTAATTAGCTGAGACACAGTTATGGTAAACAAATACTGCCCCCTTGTGGATTTATGAGTATGGCATTAAATAACCTGAAATTACCCAGAAGTAAAGGAAGAAAAAATTTAAAAGCAAAGTTTCTGGTTCAGCTTTTTCTCTCAGGGAGATACTCACTGCAAATAAGTGATCAGAAGTAGATACATTTCTTACAATTTTACAGTAAGAATAATTTCTTCTACAATATGAAATAATGGACCAAATTCAACATCATTTTTCATCTCTAATGTCTTACCCCTCTTCCCCAAATAAATCCTTTCTTTATTTTTTAGATCCTCACCCCAGGATATGTTTTTATTGATTTTGAGAGAGAGAGAGAGAGAGAGAGAGAGAAACATTGATGTGAGAGAAATATCAATTGGTTGCCTCACGTATGCGCCCTGACTGGGGATCCAACCTGCAACCTAGGTACGTGCCCTGACTGGCAATGGAAGCCAGAACCTTTTGGTGTACAGGACAATGCTCCAACCGAGCAACCCAGCCAGGGCCCCAAATAAATTCATTAAATGTCTTTTTTTGAGAGGAATTAAAAGCCTTTAAAATAAACTTATAACCAATAATGTATCTGAATGTGAGAAACTAGGAAAAGCAAAAAAATCATTGGTTCTATTAAAGTTTCAAAGTCCCTTCAATTCTTTGTATGCTATTTTCCCTTGTTGCTGCCTACTAGTCTTCATCTGTCCTAATAAACTTTGAATATTGGAAATTTTTCTTTCAGAAATGTTATTAAAAATATTGCTTACACTTATATGAGATATTTAGTCAAAATCAGAGACAGAAAGTAGAATGGTGGTTGCCAGGACTGGCGAATGGGGGGAATGAGGAGTTCTTTTTTTCAGTGAGCACTGACTTTCAGTTTTACAAGATGGCAAGTATTATGGAGATGGATGGTGGTGAGGGTAGCACAGTATTAGGAATGTATTTAGTATCACTGAATATTAACTTGTTAAGATGATAAATTTTGCATTATGTGTATTTACCACAATAAAAAAAATTTGGAGAAAAGGAAAGATGCCACATCAAAATCTATGGCATGTAGCTAATACAGTGCTAGGAGGAAAATTTATAACGCAAATTATCTACAATAGAGAAGAAAGATTTCAACTTCAGATAGTTTCTATCCTAAGAAACTGAAAAGATAAGGGCAAATTGAACCTAAAGAAACCAAAAAAGGCAATAAAGAATAGAAATCAATGAAACAGAGAACAGAAAAACAGAGATTATCAATAAACCAAGAGCTGGCTACTTAAGAAGATAAAATTACAAAACTTCTAAGTCAGACTACTAAGGAGGGGGAGGGGGAGAAATTTCCAATACCAGGGATGAGAAAGGGAATATCATTATAGAATTTAAAGATATTCAAAGGATAATAAAGGAATATTATAAACACTTGTATGCAAATAAATTCAACAACCTAAATGAAATGGACAAATTCCTTGAAAGACAAACTAAAAATAATGCACAATCAAAAAGAAATGGATATTTGGTTAGCCCTACATATATTGAAAATTAAATTTGTATTTAAAATCTTCCCTCAGAAAAAACTCAAGGTCAATACTGCTTCATTGGAGAGTTCTACAAAATATAAGGAAGAAATAATGGCAATTCTTTACAAACGCATCCAGAAAACTGGAGAAGAGGAAGCACTTATGAGGAGAGTATACCTTGTCACCAAACCAGTCAAAGACATTACAGGAACACAACTGTGACCCTATGAGATGGATACTATTAATCATCCCATTCTGGAGATGAAGAGACTGAGGGCTAAAGAGAATAAAAACTGGCCTAAGACCACAGAACTAAAAATTAGGAGGTAACTGACTTCAGAACACAGTCTCTTAACCATAACACTATAACTGCTTCTCAAATTCAATTAAATTCTAGATACTCTTGCAAAAGAAAATACTAAGGTGCGCTGCCCAGTACTTACCTAGAGACTATGCTGGAACCATTATAGAGATCACTAGCATATGACAGGGTAGCCAAAGGTCGCACTGAATTATATCGAGTAAACTTGGACAAGCATTCCTGAAATTCATCCAACTGGCTTGCTGTTCGACTGTCATCTATATTAAAAAAACATAATAAGTGAACTATAGCATCAAAGAGCAATATCCACAGATTAAGAATAATATTCTAAATACAAACAATAATTCTTTTTTTAAAAAATATATCTTTATTGATTTCAGAAAGAGGCAAGGAGAGGGAGAGAGAGATAGAAACATCAATGATGAGAGAGTCATTGATCAGCTGCCTCCTGCCTGCCCCCGACTGGGGATCGAGCCCCGATCACCAGGATCCTAGGTCGACGATCAACCGCTGAGCGATGCCTGGCCCGGCAAGAACACACATTCTCTCTCCCTCTCTCCNCGATCACCTGGATCCGAGGTCGACGATCAACCGCTGAGCGATGCCTGGCCCGGCAAGAACACACATTCTCTCTCCCTCTCTCCCTCTCCTTCCTCTCTTTGAAACTAATAAAGATAAATTAAAAAAAAGAAGAAAAAAAAAAAAGAATGTGTATTCTGTTGAAGACCATAATCCTTTTCTAGGGTAGCTGAACCTCTGGCCATTACACCACCATTCATTACATTAACACCTACTTTCAACAGAAGTTATAAAGAAAGTACTAAAAATAGTTATTTCTGTATCTGAAAGTATAGGAATTACATTTCACTTATCTGATTATAAAAAGGTAGGATTTTATTTGCTTGGTTGGTTTATGAACATCCATACATATCTGCTGCCATATCACCTCTCCTATCCTAATTACAGATTAGTTTGTAAAAATGTATCCGTGTCTCTTTTCTCTCTTCTAATGCTTTATAATTTACCTCCTCTTTCAATTACAATTGAGAGCCAAGGCATTAATTTCTTAATCTTCAACTTTCATTTTCATAGCAGAAAATAAAAGTTGAGAAAGGGGGGTGTAGGGCAGGTTCTCATTGGAAAATATACAAAAGAACCACCAAACTTTTAGGTACCCTAGAACTTCACATTCAGCAATATGATTGGTGTAGTCAATGTGCACATTTGACAGGATAAGCTTGAGATTCCTAAAAACTAAGGACAATGTGTATTAAGTATAATACAGCTATGCCCACAAAAATAAAAATCTAATCTTCCTCCTGGTCTTCACTTATCATTTTACTTTCCTATAAAGCTACATCCCCAAAATAAATTAAATTGGTTTGTGATTACCTTCACTATCCCACGGCATGCCTATGCTGCTAGTTAAAAATTATTAATAACAATAGCCTAGCCCAATCTCTCTTTCCGATCTCTTTTTAAATGTCCACCACTTGCCTGGGGTTGTATTTCAACATCATACCAACATATGATGTCTGAAAGGGCTATCATGAACTTGTCTCAGATCACTTTCAACTTAACAGCTTCCTGTTGTAATTTATGGACTATTAGAGAGGTTCAATAAGGGACTCAATTCCTAGGCAAGAAAATAAAAGCTTTCCATATGTATATTAATTGTTGATTGTTAATTTCAAACACACTTATCAACAACCTTGGATTCCTCATACTCTTCACAGGAAAAGTGCTACGTAAATCTAATATTTTTTTTCCCTGCACCACCAATCTTGAGGCATATTTGGCCAAAGGATCTAAGCAATGCGTAAATTATAATACAAACGTGCCAACTCAAGAGAAAACCAAGGCTAAATTTTAAACAACTAATAAAGTATCAGACATTTGTTTTCTTGGTGGCCTTCATTTTGAGCAGGTGTACTACTAATGACATTAACTAACTGGGCACCCAACTTATATCAATCACTGTAAATTATATATATCACCTGAACAACTTAAAAAAAACACCTCAAAACCTGTAGGATTGGTATTAATGTCCCAACTTCGTTAGTGAGCAAAGATGCCAAGAAAAGCTAAAGATCAGGGAGCTAACATAAAGCAATAAAAATATCCCATACTATTACATTCATGCCTTTACAAAAGTTATTTCTTCTACTTTGAATATGTTTCTGCTTACCTTTTTTAGCTCATTAACACTAGTCTTGACTAAATACAACTCTTAAGAAATCCCTACAGTGATTATTTACCTGTTGCATTCTCCCACTAAGTTTATACTACTCCTTGACAACAAAAACCAGTTCTTACATCTTTTCATTCTTAGCACAGAAGACACTTAGAATTTAATAAATGTTGAATAACAGGAGGCAACTGAATGAAACTTATTTTTGCTAGCTACATATTCATGGTTACTTTTTTTTAACTTTATATAGCTCACTATATAAAGATTAAAATTCCAAACACAGAAAGAGAACAAAACTAGCTATGGGAAAGCAATGTTTTCCAAGATCTTTAAGAATCTTCACAAAGCTCTGGTAGACTATGTCAAAAATACACGCTTTTGTTTTATAAATAGAACTTTCCATAAATCCAGCATAGGAAGCTAGAGATGGATCTGAAATATAAATTTGAGATACTTTATTGGGATGAACATGTATTAAGTTATGTAACGTCTGGCCACTGGGGGCCAGACAAAACACACACATACACACACACACATAAAATTTAAATTAAATTTTTAAAAAAAGAAGTCCTAAATGTGTACCTGAGATACGAGACATCCTTGTAGAAAAGTAACATTGTTCTAAGTCTTCAAAATGAGCAGTGAGTCGTTTTCGTCTTGAAGCTAATGTGCTATTATACCAAGGCTGTTTCTTTGTCTAAAGTGATAACAAGACAAGACACTTATAACTCAGGAAAAAAAACATACTTTTTTTCTGCACAGGATAAATAATTTCAAAAGTTCATCACATTAAAATAATTACAAATGGTAAAAAGCCATAGTTCTTACACCACATTTTCCAATTTCTGATTTAAAGTGAAAACATAGGCTCTTAAGGCCAATTTTGTAAAAATAAAAAGCTTCTTTCAAAATCTCCAAATTAAATAAAGATAAAATCCATTATAACTCATTCTAAAATTTAGAATTTTAAGAAAGTCAATATGCAGAAATGGTTAGAAGACAATTATAAAGCAAACCACTTTTTCATCATCCCTGTATTGTAGCCTTGAACTCTTCTGCATAACAGAAACTGTGCTTGACTGTACAGAACATGTCCCTGAGTTTAAACTGAATGAGATTAGGGGGAGTAATATGTATGCACTGAATAGTCTGACATATAGTTTAGAAGATCAAAGTAACTAAATCATATATATATGGACAAAGACAACAAATCTGAAATGTACTGGCACATAATTCCTATAAAAAACAAAATACAGTTGACCCTTGAACAACACAGGTTTAAACTGCATAGGTCCACCTATACATGGATTGTTTTTCAATAAATACTGTATGTATTTTCTCTTCCTTATGATTTTCTTAAGAACATTTTCTTTTTTCTAGCTTACTTTATTGTAAGAATATAGTATATAATGCATATAATAGCATACCCCATGTTGTTCAAGGGTTAACTGTGTATAATATTACCTACATATGTTAATTGAAATGATAAGACAATTCTTCCACAGGTGGTTATTATCGATTATGCTTGCGGCACAGAAACAGATACAGAGATAAGATACAAAACGAGAGATGACACAAGTTCACGGATAACTATGCCACAACTGTAAATGTATTAAGAAATATTAAGGCATTATTATGAAGAAACACTAAAGTGAACCCCCACTAAAACTAGATGGTAGGCACTATTTTAAAGCAGTGCTTGAATCACGAGAAAGTAAGACAATTTCCAAAGATATAACAGATAAACAACTAAACAGGAAGCTGAACTCAGGAGAGAGGTGATGGTAAACAAAATACGGATAAGGGTGCAGACAGCGGAAAGAGGAAGAGAACAATACCTACTTGGGGTCAATACCTACAAAAGGACAAGTGCTAGAACTGAAATTTGGAGACTGAAAAGAGAAACTGCAAATGAATAGAATGAATTATTCAGAATGAAGGATAAAAGTAAAGAAGATAGAAAACTTGAAAGAGAGGGTAAGAAACATAAAAGACAGTAAGATTTAAATACTCAGACTCAGAAAATGTAACATACTGAAGGAGAAACAATTAAAGAATTGATGTTGACAAATTTCTAGTACTGAATACAGACACAGAAATTCTGGAGATCATAAGCCATAAGCAACACATAAGGAACAAATTATTAGTATCCGGAATACATTTTAAAAACACTCCTACAAGTAAATAAGAAAAAGACTGATACAAAAAAAGGGGAGAAAGACACGAAATGCCATTTCACAAAAGATGAAACATGAACGGCCATAGGAAAAGATGCTGACCTTATTGACAGGAAAATGCAAAGTAAAACTACAACTAAGTTCCATTTAGTATTACCCACTACAGCAGCAACCATTTAGAAATTCAACAGTGTCAACAATGTGGAGAAACTGGAACTCATATACTACTCTGGTGGGAGTTCTAAATTAATAGACTCTGAAAAACATGTAACTTATTAAAAGTCAACACATTGATAAACACAAATATCAGAAAAGTGATTATCTCCTGACATGAGGTAGGGTGATGGAATTTGTTAGGAGAACATGGGTAACTTGAATGGTACCATTAAAGTTCCAGTAATTAACACAGGAGCTTGGTTCATAAGTTTTTTTGTTATTATTATGCTTCTGATTTACATATTCATAAAATATATTCCTTTTATGTACCAACACATATTTTGTAATTTTTAAGGGAGAAAACTCTAGATTTTAAAAAATGTGATCAGCTCCATGTAGAAAGAGAAAAGATTTCATAGTCTTTAAACATGAGAATTACAATAACAAAAATCAGGAATAAGACATGTAACACAAACAAAGAGTACTCAACACTATTTGGTTTGGCTTCCAGTTTTTATAGCATAATTTACCTTCACAATTATTTTGCTAATATTCCGTCTAAGCTTTTCTTGAATTTATTTATTCAGTGCAATTCCATTTTAACCCATCCAAAACTAGGTTGCCTCACAATTTTTGGTAAATACACATCACCTGGCTCAACACAATGATGAGTAATTCATCAGCAGATTATTACTTTCTTATTCCTGAGAAACAAAACCTTGATTATTCATAATTTCTTCTTACAGTATTTCCTTCTTCTAGAGGTCTGATGTTACCATTACCAGTATGTTTAAAAAAAACCTTTTAACTCATCATTGATGAGCAAATAAATAGCTGATTATGCCTCAAAACTACTCAAGTCCTAATCAATGACACAGTATTCAAAACAGTAGTATTTATTATAGGCCTCTACAGTAAACCAATCTCTGATTTTATAACTCGGATGATTATATTCATGGTACCACTGAAACCTATTGTTAACTATATAATTTACCTGAGAACTGCCACTGAAACCTGGAGGTTGGCTGTATTCTGTGGAATCAATAATACTACTGCAAAATGAAGAGAAAAAATGTGATTTCAGTGTTTATATTACTTTATCAAGAGAAAAAGTAAAACTAAAATACGTGAATCCAATATTTCTAATTTCTAAGCAAAGAAAATATTACCAATAATTTAATGAGACATCAAATAAATGCATAACCCTTAAATGACAACAAAAAAATCAGCAAATATTTAAACAATTTATCCCTTTACCCCACTACCTTAAACATGCAACCATGAAAGAATATCAACAGAAAATAGTCACTGGACAGGTGTATACATAGATATATTTGCTTCAATCTGGTTTTCAGATACATTACATTAATACGTTGTTTGGAACCCCATTTAAAGAAGAGTATTGGGAAAAGAGCACAAGCATGCAATTAAAAGCAATGGTTAACAAATGCTGCTGTGCACTAAAGAGCTATGTGCCCTTGGACAAGTACTTTAAAACCACTCAGTTTCCTATCTGCAAAGTGAGATGAGTGGGAACTAAACTTATCTCTACAATATCCAGAGTCCCTTCCAGGTCCAATGTTATGATAATCATCTCACATTAAAGAAAACTATCAAAAGAATGGAATAAATGGTAAAATACCAATAATCTTTCTTTCATAATCTCAAACCTATATACCAGTTTGCTCTGCTCTGGTCAAATATAATTTGCTTTCTGCATTGGTTCTTTACATTTGGTTACACCGTCTGTGCATTCTTCTGTGTAACTCTAGAAGTCCAGACTATCTTTTTATTCCTATTAGTTCTATCTTGCCATTTCTATCTTATCACTTCATTACTCTTACTGCCTTCCCATTTTTAAACACAATAAATTTGCCTATGAAAACTATTAACACCTGAAAATGGCATAACATATATACCAGCCATGATAAACCAACAGTTATTTATATTTTAAAAACTCCTTTTCCTTATTTCTACTATAAAAATATTTATATTCTTGTCTATCCTAATACATTAAGCAATTGAGGGTATTTAAATGGTTCTCTCTACACAATTACACATAATCATTATTTTATGTTAGTACACAAATAACCTCAAAGGTTATAATATGAGAGGCACTCTTAAGAGCACAGAGTGAGTTTGAATTTCATCCCTTAGCAGCTAAATGACCCTGGGCAAGTTACTAACGTTAATTTGGTTTCTAGTTTCTCCATCTATTAAATGAGGAAGACACTTCAGAGAGATATGACATTAAAATAAGTGTGTTAAGTTCTCAGTGCAATGCCAAAAAATAGTAAAAATTCAATAAATTTTACCCTCTAGTAATAAAATTAGTAACATTCAACCTCACATTTTCAAAAATATAATAAATCAGATGGAACTGTCCTCACAGTAGTCTTTTTAAAAAGCAACACATATTAACAGATCTTAAGTCACTATGTCCTTAACTGTTTCTATAATAAGACTCAATTATACAAGAAAGCCTTCTAAGCACTTACACTAAAAATTAAAGAATTAACACATAACAGGTTTCTTTTGATGAAATATAACCAACGCTCACCTTCCTTGCACAGAGTATGACAAGATCACATGTTATTTTCAGTATACTCCATCCAGGGACTAATAGGGCTAAAAATAAGGAGATGCCATGCATTCAAAAATCTCTGTTACTTTTACTAATAAAACCCAATCCCCTAGCATTTGTATAAACATTAATAAAATTATGTAGCTGTGTATTTAGAGGTCAATAGAATAGAAGAATTTCTAGATATGATTTTTATGGTGTTATAATTCAGATTTCTTTGATCACAAGTCTGAACAATAATATTGATGTATTAGTGTGTATAAGAAATACTCATCAGATACAGACAATAGCATGGTGATTACCAGGGGGACAGGGGGCTGGTAGGAGAGGGTAAAGGGGGGATAAATGGTGATGGAAGGAAACTTGACTTGGAGTGGTGAACACACAATACAATATACAGATGATGTATTATAGAATTATACACCTGAAACCTATATAATTTTATTAACCAATGTCACTCCAATAAATTCAATTTAAAAATACTCATCAATTTGTTGATGATATTGAAATTACAAGTTTCAAATGGTACTTTAGTCTGCAGAATTTGATTTTTATTTTATATCAGGTTTTAATTTTATTCACTAAGAAAAATTTATTATTGCATACAGACCAGACAGAAGAAATCTGAAAAATAAACCTTTCTAATTCTGCCCTTTTTTTTTAGATGCACGCCTGAGAATATTTATTGANCAAGTTTCAAATGGTACTTTAGTCTGCAGAATTTGATTTTTATATCAGGTTTTAATTTTATTCACTAAGAAAAATTTATTATTGCATACAGACCAGACAGAAGAAATCTGAAAAATAAACCTTTCTAATTCTGCCCTTTTTTTTTAGATGCACGCCTGAGAATGTTTATTGAAATTTGGCCTATTCATACCTCAGAATTCAGAACTGGAAGGGATGACTATCAATAGCTTCATTAAACAGTGAAAATTCTTGTTTATAACAAGAACCTAAAGGTATTTCTTAAAAAATCCTGAAATGCCTACTAATCAAATTATGATTACTAAAGTTTTAGAGTTAAATTCATTCTGATTATTTTAACTCTTGGAATTGAAGGTCTGTTTATACCATATTCTAGCATAACTTATTTTCCATCCTAAGGCTGTGGAACTATAATAGCAGGATTCTAGGGTCTGTCATATTCACAACTGTATTCCCAGTGCCTGAAACAGTGTTCTATACATGCCTGATACACCCCCCAAAACTAGCTGAATGACTAAGAAAAAATTCTTCAAATATTCTAAATAAAAGAAATTGCACCGCCCAGCCAGGCGTGGCTCAGTGGTTAAGCATCAGCCTAGGATCCAGGCGATCAGGGTTCGATTCCCGGTCAGGGCACATGCCTGGTTGCGGGCTTGGTCAATGACTCTCTCCTTATTGATGTTTCTGTTTCTCTCTCTCCCTCTCCTTTCCTCTCTCTGAAATCAATAAAGATATATTTAAAAAAAAAAAAAGAAACTGCACCATTTCAAAAATGGTTTCCATAACTCGCTACATTTCTATTACCTACCAATTTAATGAAAAATTATAGATGTAGGAAGAGTACCCTCTCTATTATTGTCATGGGGTTTGATTTCTGTGTTTTGTGTTTCTTTTTTGTTTTAGTTCAAGTTAAAAATTCTGTAAGATTCTTTAATGGTCTTCCATTGCCTATGACATCAAGTTGAACTCCTCTGCATGGTACAGGGTCAGAGTTAAGGTAAGTATCCCCTGTACTCCCAACAGTAAAACAATCAATTGGTTTTACCACTTCTTCCACACAATAAACTTCATTAAAATACGGCAAAACATCATTCATATTCAAAAGTCCTCCATGCATGTATAGTAGAGATTTCTTTTTTTTTTTTTTTTTTTTT